AAATAGGAATAGAAGTAGGAATAGGAATAGGAGTATAAATGGGAATAGGAGTAGGAATAGGAATAGAAGTAGGAATAGGAATAGAAGTAGGAATAGGAATAGGAGTATAAATGGGAATAAGAGTAGAAATAGGAATAGAAATAGGAATAAAAATAGGAATAAGAGTAGAAATAGGAACAGGAATAAGAGTAGAAATAAGAATAGAAATAGGAATAAGAGTAGAAGTAGGAATAGGAATAAAAATAGAAATAGTAATAGGAATCGGAACCAAGGGCCCCAGGGAGCAGTCCTGGGGTCTCCCACTTTCCCTGTGGCTGGGGCACAGCCCCTGCAGGGCAGGCAGGGAATCAGAGGGACAACAGGATGGGGACAGGATCTGGTGGGAATGTTTGGGCTTGGGCTGTCCTGGGCAGGAGGAGGAGAGCCCAGCCTTACTGTGCTTTCTCACACACAGTAACATCATCGTGTTCCCCAGGGAACTCCAGCAGGCCCTCGTCCCCTGGCAGTGCCCTCCATGCCAGCAGCCCCGGCACAGCCCAGAGCAACTCCAAAGCTGCCATGAACTCTTCTGGTTTCAACTCTTCAGGGTAAGGCAGAGAGGGCCCCACAGCTCACCAGGGCACTGGGAGGCTGGGGAGGGAAGCAGTGGGATCTTAGGGAGGAACGTGGAGACTTGGAGACTCCCCTTGGAGACTCCAGCAGCTGGTGGAGTGGTGGCACGTCCTGATGTGAAGCTTCACATCCAACCTGGAGCATCTTGGCAGCCACAAAATAAGAAAGATATAAAGCTGTTAGGGAGTGTCCAGAGGAGGCTGTGAAGATGGTGAAGGGTCTGGAGGGGTCATGTGAGGAGTGGCTGAGGGCACTTGGCTTGTTCAGCCTGGAAGAGAGGAGACTGAGGGCAGAGCTCAGGGGGCTGCAGCTCCGATCTCTGCTCTGGGTGAGCAGGGACAGGACCCCAGGGAATGGCTGGAGCTGTGTCAGGGAGGTTTAGGTTGGATCTCAGGAAAAGGTTCTTCCCCCAGAGGGTGGTTGGGCACTGACCAGGCTCCCCAGGGCAGTGGGCACAGCCCCAAGGCTGCCAGAACTCCAGGAGGGTTTGGACAACGCTCTCAGGCACAGGATGGGATTGTTGGGGTGTCCTGGGCAGGGCCAGGAGTTGGACTGATGATCCTTGCGGGTCCCTGCCAACTCAGCATATTCCATGATTGTTGGGATATGGCTCTTTTTCTGCTTGAAAACAAATAACAAATCAAGTTTCGCCTGAAAAGCTATGCTGATTAAAAAAAAGGGAAAAAATAAATCAAACTGAATAGATAAACTGGCCAGGAGGACTGTCCTAACCTAACCCTTTGCATGGAGGAAGCAGAGAAAGGCTTATTTTGCTGTTTCTGCTTGTACAACCCCCTCCACAGCCAATTTTCTCTCCTGCAGTGCCACCCAGAGAGCTGTGCTGTCAGTGACTCTTTCACAGTGGCAGAACAGAGATTTTTTTTTTTCACTCTGTCCTGCCCTTCGATGCTGCAAAAGCATCGAGCCAGACACGGGCTCAGAGCCCTCCTGGATAATTCACTGAGGATGCCTGGGCTGCTCAGGGCTCTCTGCACTTGTAGCTTCTGCCCCAGCACATCAGGGATGGTGTGTGAGGAAGGAAATGGAGCAGAGGGTGGGATTTGAGTCATGGATCAGACCTCCTTTTACACTGGGCAAGTCCAACAGCCGGGTAGCACATGGAATCATGAAGATCTTACCTAGAAAGTCAGGGGGTTGCTGCAGGAGCAAAGGATCATCTGCCAAGTGAAGTGAGGTCACAAATGGAATGATGATGGTTTTTATTTCAAGGGGGAAGCGTCACCAACTGTAGCTCTTGTTCCCTGTGTTGCAAACAGATCCTGGTACCGATGGAACCAACCTACCTACCTCCACTGAGAGCCCCCCTCCACCGCGTGTCAACGGAGCTCCGGCTCCGAGCCATGGACCAACTCCTCTAGGAATAATTCCTGGGGCAACACCCGGCCTTCCAGTGCCTTCCAAGTGCTGCCACGCGAAGGCCTTGTCCGAGGGAACCCTTGGAGCAGCGGAGCTCTCCAGGGACTCCAAACTGCAGCCGATTTTCCCCAAGGATTCCCAGCCCCACGAACGTTTCCCTCCACGACCGAGCCCTTGCTTAGCCCTGCCCGCATGTCACACACTGCCCTCTGCTTGCAAGCCTCTGCATCCTCGCTGGGATCGCCTGGCAGGCTCTACCCTGGAAGGATTTCTTGTGTCAGGACTCTCCTTTCTCCCCCCTAAACCCTCCCCCGAGGAGGGGCTCTCCTGCTGTTGCTGTCACGCACACACCCCACGAACCCCAAACTGAGCCGAGGGGACCCAGTTCATTTCACCACAGCCCCGTGTCCACACATCAGCCTCGATTTTCCATAGATTTCCAAGGCCAACTGTGCTTTATCCACTTCCAAACTTGCTTTGCTTTGAGCCATTCTGCTCTTTCCAAAGGTGCTTTTTGTTTTTTTCACCCCTCCCCTTTATTTTTTCGTCCCCCTTTATTTTTTATCCCCCTTTATTTTTTCATCCCCCTTTATTTTTTCATCCCCCTTTA